GTAGCCGATTCATCAGTGCTCAATATACAGCGATGGGGGCGTGACAGGCGTTTCAATAAATGCCCCGTCACGGCCCCTCAGCAAGCTATGCGGCCAACTTTCAAGTGAGCCCAACAATCACCCAAATAAAAACGAGCTAATGAAACACACAAGTGCACAGTTCTACACAGAAACTTAGGGTGCCACTAAATAAAATATCATTGGGATTAAATCAATGTAGCTGAAGCAACATAGCAGCAAATTGATGAGCTATCTATAACATATTAGCAGCATATATATCAGAAGAAAATTCCTTTGCATATCTGCATTAACCAACTCTCGCCTGGCTGCGATATTATTAATTTCTATAGCGCAAAAGGAAATACGAGAACCACATTCGGACCAAATAAAGCACGCAAAAATTGCTGCATCATAGCAAAGTAATTTAAGGATCAAGCAAAAAATGACTGAGAGCTTGGGGCAGCGGCAACAAGGGGTTAATGCTGATGAGCATCTTAATCTTAATGCCGAATGTTGAATGTGGAATGCCGAATGCCGAATGCCAAATGCTCATATATCGCATTGCAAATGGAGCCACAAGCAAATCATGTCAATCAGCGCGCCAATACGTGACACACATTTGCAACATGCTCCATGCCGCATGCCGCATGCCCCAAATGTGCTGATGATTAGGAGCGCGAGATGGCGAGGTAAAGGAACTGAGCTGAAACTGAAACCGAACCCGAAACTGAAGCTGAAACCCAATACTCAATCGGGTCACAATGAAGCAACTTTGACTTTTGACTGGCGGTTCCACAAATTATATGTTAAGCTCTTTAATGGGCCCACAAAAACCGTGGTAAGCGCGGGGGTAAACGCTCGCCCAAAACGGGGCGAATGGGGCGAACCCGAGCCCCACCCGCGCCGAGGAGCTGCCGTTTAACATAATTTGCTATAATTTTCAACACAACGCCGAGCCGAAGAGCTGCCAAGTGGCAGCCGCCAGCCGCCAGCCACCAGGGCCACCTTAACCACATACAGACATCCCCTACCGCTCCAGATATACCCTCACTTACCCCTCTTTGGACCGTTCAGCGAGTCAAAAGCGCAATAATCATTTTGTTATGTTTCGCTTGGCGAATCGAGGGAATCGCAGGCTTGAGGGGAGCGTATCGGGGTTCTGGGTTCTGGGCCTGATTGCTACCACGGCCATTATGTTACGTTGTTTGCCCTTTTATGTCAGGGCCTAACCTATAATTTAACTAAATGTTCAAATGTTTTGCGAGCAGTGCCGCACCGGCCCCGCCCCACCATGTGCCGCCTGCGCCACAAACAGCAAAATTTGTTGAAAGCTACACGAAATTGAAAACAAATTTCTCATCTCTTGTTGCGCCTCGTTCCCGATGTTGGTCTCAAGTGCGGAAATAAAATATTATAAGCGCTGCCTAAATTACACCATCAGCCAACAATTTGGCTGGCAACGCATTATATCATATTATATCATAACATATCGGAACATAACATAACTCAAGCTCTTCTGAGGCGCAAGTCCACAGTCAGGATAAACAACCAGAACTAAAATTAAAACTCGCAATTTAAAATTGGGCGCAAAAAAAGGGAAATATTTAAGAATGAAAAATTGGACGCAATTGAAACAGCTTAAAATTATCCAAAGAGAGCTCTTTAAAGCTGAGCTAGTCTGCTAAAAGTTTTGATAACTTTTTGTTGATAAAATAGATCTAAAAAGTTGTTAAATGGTCAAGCATAGTGCGTATGCGTATAGCTTTTCCCTAAAGTCTTCAAAGCATATATGAATTGCTACATAAATTGTCTTTACTTTTGGTATATTCTATCTAATATTTTGTGGACAGTTTTCAAAATATTCCGATAGGTTTCCAACATCTTTACTGTGAAAAAGCAAGTGTTTCTATGCCGCATGCTATTCAATTTCCATGCGAGTACAAAAGCGTATAAACACATTTGCTGGCACTGTACATAATGGATTTCTGGCCAACAGACTGTGCTGAACGTATTACAAACTTGCCGCAGTTAACCGCACTCAACGCACCTGCAGCTCTCCGAGCTCCCCCGGCAGCCAGAATCCCGGGCTCCAGCTAGTTTCCTCTGTGCTGCACGCCCACATCCAATTGCCATTTTTTTTTTCTTTTTTTGCTTGCACCCATTTTCTTTGGCATTTGTTGCTGTTTTTCTTTGTCAAGAAAACAATACAACAGCGCAAAAGTGAAAAAAAAATATATCAACGGAAAATACTGAAACTTCAGCTGAATAGCAAAAAATGAAAAACAAGAAAACCCACCGCAACAACAACAAACAACAAATACAACAACAACTGAACTTGCTGCAACAATGCTGGGAAAACAAATGGCAAATAACAAACTATTGTAAATGCATTTTTTAGAGAAGTTGTTGCTCTCGTTTTTTGCCCGGCTTCCCCCTTTTATTTTGTATTTCGCTCGATTTTTTCCTCTTTGATATTTTCTTCTTTGCTTTTCGCTGTTTTGTTGTTGCGCATATGAAAATGAAAAATTGTGTGACCGCAGGGGCCAAAAGGGGCAAATTGCAATAAAATAAATAAAATATAAAAAAAACAAACACACACTTTTGCATGCATGTGTATATGCATGTGTGCGTGTGTGTGTATGTGTGTGTGTGTGTGTATGTGCGCGTGTGAGCGTGTGTTAGCCATGGGCAATAGCTAGCACAAGGGCAGGGGCTGCGGCTATGTGGTTTTATTTATTATGTTGCGGGTTACAAGTAATTGAAATGTGGCGACAGCTAACCAGAATTATAGAAACGGAACTAGTTACTATTCATCGAGCTCTTCTCCTCTTAAGCAGAACTAGTGTAACTGAACTAGCTTGTGTACGCAATACATAAGTAATCGAACCAGTTCTTGTTCATCATACTCTTCTTTTCGTACGTAAAAATAAAGCAATTGAACTAGTTTCTGTTCACTCATCTTCACTTCTCCTCAGCAGAACTAAAGTAGCTGAACTAGTTCCTGTTTACCTACCTCTTCTGCTCCTCAGCAGAACTAACGTAGCTCTCACCTGCCTCTCCTTCTCACCTAAATAATCCTATCTTTAGCGGGACTAAATAAGCTAAATTAGCTAAAAATTTTCAAGCTTTACTTTCTAGCAGAACTTTAACAACTGGAACTAGTTCCCACAACCAGTTCCAGTTGATTTGATCCTTTTACTTTTTTACTCCTCAGTAGAACTTTAATAACTGGCTTAGTTTCTGTTTACCAATTATAGTTATTTTTATCTTTAGATCTACTTCTGATTAGAACTTAAGTTACTGGAACTAGTTCCTATAACCAGTTCCAGTTTATTCGACTCTTCTCCTTAACATTACTTTTATAGCTGAATTAGTTCCTGTTCACGCTATTCTTATCTTTAGCAGGACTCAAGTAACTGAACTAGTTCAAACTCATCTCTCAGCTCTCAGCTCTCTATTATTCTAAGGATAGTCTCTAGGATAGTCTTAGAGTCTTTCTCTCTCCTGCTCTCTAACATACAATTTCATAACTACTTCATAACTTTTTCACTAATTGATTTAGCTCTAAGCTTGCCAATTCTTTTCAACCAAGAACGTTGGGTGCGCTTACGTAGGCAACGTAAACGGCTTACGTAATGCTCACTCAAACCCAATTTCAGATTCAAATTGGTGGGGTCGCTGTCAAAAGTCACACGCTTGGCCAACTGCTCGACACGGACTCAGACTTAATGTCAAAAGCTGGCCTGAGCTTTTGGCCAAGTTGGGTGTAACCTCCATGCACAGCATGTTACTTCCTTTTGTGTGCATCCTGTGCGCCGCCAGCAACGCTCCGAGTGGTACTCAATTCTCGAATCTGAGTTCTCACAGCCTGAAGGCTTTTTCTAGCGAAATATTCGCTCTGCCACAAAATGTCAGTTTCTTTAGTGTTGTGTTCGGGGCTGGGCAGGGTAGGGCAGGGCAGGGCAGAGCAGGGCAGGGCACCCCAACTCATATGCATGTCTATGCTGCGGTTAGTAGGATTCGCCGGTTGGCCGAATGGAGTTCATAAAAATGCGCAGAAATTCAAATGAACTGCAGACGGCGACGACGACGGCGCTCATCATTAAAATTCACGCTTAAATTGCCTCTAAGAACGGCAGAAAAGACAAGGGGCAGGGTGAACGGGAACGGGAGCGGGAACAGCTGCTGATGAGGCTGCCGCTGCTTCTGGCATAGCCCAGGCCCACAGACGTTCACGAAATCTAAGCCAAATTCATTGGAAACTATTTGCCAAAAACAGACAGAAAGGACACAAACTACAGCAAAAGTGAAAAAGGAAGAAAAACAACAACAAAACCAAACACATAAATCACATAATTTCATTGAGAAAACTTTGCCAAAACGAAAAGCAAAAACAAACCAAAAAAAAAAAGCAGTTCAAGTCCAAGTTGAAAACAGTTTCGTTGACCGCCAGCAAAAGATCATTAAAAAACGCGTCCAAGATATGAATATTAAAATGCCAAAAAAACAAAAATAAAAAAAAAAACAACTGCAAAAATATTCAAAAGATGAACCAAAAACCAAACAAAACGAAAAAAAAGGCGACAAAGCGCGGCCCGGACGAAAAGCCAAAAAGGTGCCACTAAAAATTTTGAAATATGTTTTTATTTTATTACTCTGCATGCTGTGCACGGTGCTTCTGGAGCACCCGAAACGATGCAGAACCTCGTAAAATGTTTTACCCGGTTCCATATACACGATCCGCGCTCCGCTGCCGTTCCCCAAGCCGGGGCCGGGGCTAATTTTGCAACGGCCGCCCGGTGTGGTGGCGGTAGCTTCAATGCAACAACTAGGGAGAGGGAGAGAGGGAGGGAGACTGAGACTGAGATTGCGACTGACATACAAGACATACAGCCCATATACATATGCATATATATACATATGTTTATATATATATATATAAATATCTATCTATATATATATAGAACATCTACTAAACGTTCGCCTCCAACCATCCTTAGGTCTGGTTCCAGAACAAACGCTCCAAGGAGCGTCGCATGAAGCAAATCACCAGCATGGGCCGTCCGCCGTTCTTTGGCGGCGCGCGCAAGATGCGCGGCTTTCCCATGAATCTCTCGCCGGGCGGGCTAGACGATGGACCCGGCTTTCCCTACTTTGCTGCAGATGCTAAATTCGAGTTCGGCTACGGTGGGCCCTTCCATCCGCACGATGGCCCCTTCTTTCCCGGCCATCCCGGCGGACCGATGCCCTTCAATGCGCCAGGTAAATATACACAAATATAGTACATATTGAAAAACAATTTCCAATTAAAACACCTTGAGCAAGTATTTGTTCCTTAAGATTGCACTTGATAGCCTGAAACAGTAAATTATACAAGATATTACTTTTAACAAAGCATTTACCAGGCATATTTAGAGCTACATTTATACAAATATCTTGCATAGAAGAACTACCTGTAGGTACTCCGGACCGTTTCTTAGATAAATGTTAATTGTTTTCAATTTAGTTCTTTTATCGGCACATTTCTAAACCAATTGAAATTGATTTAAGCAAACTAATCTTTATTATTTTCAAAATTAAAAAATATTTTCTACAAGATAAAAATTGGGAATACAAAATAATAAAATAATAGAACAGTTAACTTCAAAAATAATACATATTCAAGAATTTTAAATAGAATAACTTTTATGGAAATATATATAGCTCAATATACAAAAAATAGAATCCCAGTATTTTAAATAAGACCCAGGTAATTAATGCCTTAACAACTTTCAAGTTTCAAAAATAAATCTCACCATTAGAAATGCAGCATAATCTTCTTCGACTTTACTTGCATATCTTATTTATCTGAACCTAGAGCTAATCTAGTTCCGTTCCTGTTCATGACTTAGATCTAAAATATCAATTATAGATGATGTCGATAAGGCTGCCAGAATCTATATTTGGAATAAGATAATTAACTAATCTGAGCTATTTTCGATCTTCAGGCAACTATTCCACTCCACAAAATATATTAGCTAAGATATATCCAAGTGCTCGATTTGTCCTCACAACTATTAAAAACTGAATCAAACTAACTCTCTCTCTCTCTCTCTCTCTCTCTCTCTCTTTCGCTCTCGCTCCCGCTCTCTTGCCTCGATTGACAGGTGGACCAATGGATCACAGCGGCCCCATACCAATGGTCAATGAGTTTGGCCTGACGCCCGAGTCAACATTTCTGAGTCAGGCGGGCGCACCGCCAATGCAGCTGCAAACGGCTGTGGGGCCGCCGCCGCCGCCGCCACCAAATGCCGCTGAGCACTTGCTGCAACAGGCGGCCGCGCAGCAGCAGCAGCAACAGCAGCAGCAGCAGGCGGCACAAAATGCGCAACAAGCAAGCCAAACGCAGCAGCAGCAACAACAAAATGGCCCGCGCACCGCATCTCCCGAGTTCATGAGCTCGGCGAACTTCAGCGAACCACAGAATATGCAAAATGAAGGTCTCGTTTGGTAATATACAAAACAGTTGGCAACGCGCCTGCTTTTTCTTAAGACCTACACGCAGCGGCAGCAGCAGCAGCAACAACAACACGAGCAGGAGTAGCAGCAGCAGCCAAAACAACAACAATAACAGCAGCAGCAACAACAACAACATAAACAGCAGCGGCAGTGACAAAGCTTCGTCGCTGCCGTCGCGTCAGCGTCGTCGTCGTCGTCGTTGTCTTCGCTGCCGCCGCCCACTGCGCGCACACTGTTGCCATCTCGCTTTGACACACCAGCGAGCCGCAAGCAGCACGCGTCGTTTTAGAGCGAGACAGCTGCCGAATTGTGCGCTCGCTCGCTCGCAATTCAAATGAGGAGAAATTTCGTCGTTGGCTGGCCCTGCCTCGCACCCCCGCCGCTACGCCACCTACAAACCAAAATGCGCTGCCTTTGGCCAAAAAACAGCTGCTCAGCTTGGTTTTGTTGTTTTTATTATTATTCTGTTTATTGTTTTAGTCTCTTTTTTTTATGACTGCGCCAAAATATTTGTAAATTATTTTTAAAAATTCATAGCAAAAAAAAAGAACATCAATCTCTAAATGTACATTAAAATGGGCGCTGCACATAAAAAGCTAAATATATATTTATACATACATATACATACACATATATATAAATAAATATATGTACATGTTTTTTTTTTTTTGTTTTTAAATCTAACTAATGAAAATTAAGAAGAAAGAAAACAGTGTATAACTAAAAAAAAAATTACATAAACTAAACGTCTTGTCTGTAATAAACAATTTATGTGTACGTGTGTAAAAAAAAAAAAAAAAAAAAAAAACAAATTGATAAAAACGAAACACAAAAACGTAGCCTAAAAATCGTGTTAGCAAGCAACAAAAACTAAAAAAAAAAAACAAATGGTAAACACAATATTATTTTTTTTGTATATTAGCACATTTTTTTATAATTCGAAAAACCAATTTGTTTGCCTAATCAATTTTTTTTTATTAAACTTTTTTTTTATTATATAAATATATAAATAAACATATTTTATAATCGTTGTCTAACAACATAAACGTAACTAGGCATGTACTTGTGTAGTTTTTTAGCTGCTAAGTTTATATATATATACATATATATATATATAAAATATATAAAAAATATATAATGAAAGGCGCATGCTATATAATGTAAAGCTATATACAACAGCACACATAGCAGACTATTTTTTTTTTTTTTTGTGGTCCTAGCTATTAAGCAACATAATTTATTCTAAAAAAAATCTATGAATAATAAACAAAACGAAATATTTAAAAATGCTAACTAAATGTAATATCAAAATGTAAAACTAGCAAAAAAAGTATATATATATATATTAAAACGAAAATAAAAAGTAAAAAGTAAAGGCACCAGCAAGAACAGCTATAAAACAAATTTAAATTTCTATATATCTCTAACAAAAACAAATATATATATATATATATATATATATATAACAGCTATATATATATATATGTATGGAAAGCATAAACGGTGTAACAGCTAACGATATGAGTTTTCAATTGATATTATTATGGATTGGCCCCGGGAACTGAAGCTGCGACTGTGGCCGCATCACCCTATTACTCTTATTATTATTATAATTATTATTATTATTGTAAAAAGTATTTAGTGTTAGCTTAATGCGTAAGTTTATTAATTGATGATGCAAACACAACAGCAACAACAACAAGAACATCAGTAACAGCAACAACAACCGCTGGAGGAAGCATAAGGACATCCATATATTTATCATGCGAAATCTTTTAGATGATAAATCGTGGAGCAAAGCAAATCAATAATAAATAAACAAAAATTGTTAACAAAACACAAGGCAAAAAGAAAGAAAACGTAAAAACAAAAACACAAAAACGACAAACGATAAAAGGAAATCTTTGATGAGAAAAAAATATAAAAATAAAAAATTATATAAAAATATGTGCCGTGTGTTTCATAAATAAATATTGCATTTTCTAGTCATTTCAGCTACTTTACGGATAAAGTGTAAAAAATGTTCTTTGGCAAGTTAAAGATAAAGACTTCCAATTATTTTACTTCTTATTTATATACTATAAGGTAACATTTAATAATTCAGCAATTCGCATCTTTTAGATAGTTTTGTATAGTTTATATCTATTAGTATCTAATTGTTACGTTTAGTTAGCACAAAACTCATTTGGATGATAGATACTTGCATATCTAGTCGATATCTTAGGTCTTGACTTTGCATTTTAGCTACAAATCATTTCGACGCGCAATAGAATGTGTTCAGTTGTGTACCTTGAAAATCAATTTCATTGGTTACGAGACAAACGCGTCGTAGAGTAGCAATTGTATCCCATGTATCATGGAAACTTTTGTATCTCTTAGATAGATGTATTTGAATGCATCAGTTCATTCATTTGTATGCCAAGGATCAAAAATACTTTTGTTCTTTTGGATATATACATATCAATGCACAAGTATTTAAATTTGTATGTTAAAGATAAAATGTTTTGCAAATTAGCCCATAGTTAGCTTTAATTGTATACCAAGGCTCATAGATACTTTTGCATATCCTCGATATTTACATATCTATACATAACATAATTACATATTAACATTGTTATCTTAAAGATACATTTGACGTACATTTTGCGTAATTTGCATAGTAAGCCATGGTTAGTTTCAGTTGTATCGCATCGATCACAGATACTTTTGTATCTTTTAGTATATAAATTTTAATATAAGTAGCATACTATATATAGTTCTTACAGTTGTATCTCAAAGATAATACGATTAGCAAATTTGCTCATGGTCAGTTTTAGTTGTATCCCATAATTTAAAGAATCTTTTGCATTTCCTAGATATTGACATAACGATTCATAAGCTCTTTCATTTGTATCTTACAGATACACATTGGTTTTATATTTTGCACAATTTGCGTATTTAGCCATGTTTAGCTTCATTTGTATCGCATAGATCATAGATACATTTTAATATATCCCATAGATAATAGATACTTTCAATTATATATCTAATGTAAGTTCTTACCATAATTGTATCTTAAAGATAAATTTAAAGAATATTTTACACAACTTGCTTATTTAGCCAGGGACAAGCAATAGCTCAAGCAGCAGCTATTAGGAAGTGTGCACATTACATCATAAATCGTTACACACATGCACTTTATACACGCACTTACACACACACACAAACACGCAGGCACAGGTATAGCAACAATAGGCGTCTCGGCACACAGATACATGCGAAAGTTAATATGCGTGGCTAATATCGGGGCAACATTATTAATGTTGTGGACATGCACATGCGTGTCCGTTGTTGCGTCCAGAGCCCAGTCTCAAACTCAAACTCGAACTGGAACTTAAGCCCAACCTCCAGCACCGAGCCTTAAGCGGCTCCACACTTGAAATGGGCGACTGCGTGGGCTGGGGGCTTGCACGGGGCTGGCGGATGGCAGGAGTTAGCTGTGCCTTTGTTCGACACATGTGCGCGCATTCACACCTACGACTAGCCTCAAGAAACGAGCAACTCGCATGGAATGGGGGAGTGGGCGGGGGCGAACACAAACTATGAACAATATGCGAGATATGTTGGATGGACGCTGAGCGTTGAGCGTTGGATGTGGCCTGGACACGGCAGCACGATAGCCTTTCATACAAAACAATGCCATAGAGCTCGTGTTGTTGTTGTTGCAGCTGACCAACATCTCTGGCCATGACGAATTCGGGGCTCGACAGAAGATACCCAAACACATTTGCAGGCGTTGCAAAACGAGCCACGCACTGGCCAGGCTAGATGGGTTGGCAAATGGCTGGCAGGCTGACTGGCTGGCTAGCTGGGTAGCTGGGTTGCTGCTGGAATCGTAGATGAAGGCCATGCAACGAGGCATGCAGGCCAAAGCGTTGCACATCGCCAGCACGCACACACATTCACATGCCCATCCATATACTGCTGAGGGGAGAGGCATATCCTTGTCTAAAACGCATATTAAACGTCCATCAGGCGCTCTCTGGGCCCAGCAACAACAACAACTACAACAACGTGCTATGTTCAATCTGTCCAGCCATCAATCCACAAAGGCAAAAGGACTCGGGACTACCCTGAGCTGACGTGTGACGTGCGTTTATCAGTGGCAGGACAGGCAGGACAGGCAGGACAAGCCAGGATAGCCCAAAATGCTGGCTGTCCAGTGGGTGTGTGTTGGGCAATGCCTACCGTTTGACTGATGGACATCCAACATGGCCAAAGGGCAGCGGCGCGATGGCCACGGTTGGCTGTGGACGCATGCCAACCGTAGGGATGCCAACTACGCACAGCCCCCTGTTCAGAGCTGCAATGTTTCCGTTTCCGTTTTGTCGCCAAAAATGAATTTGTTAACATTAAATGGCATTTAGACTGGGCTGGCACACACACACTCACCCCAACCAGCCCCACCCACCCTGGTATCCGTGCTCAGCGCCTGCTCTGTGCCAATCATCATTCATAGCACATGTCATGAGGAGGAAGACTGGCAGCCGCTCATGATAAATGCTTCCGAACTTGCAACTTAGTCACGCGCTCTGCTAAGCCCGATCATCATTTAGATGATATATATATATATGTACATATATGTATATATGTGCGTTGTGTGTAAACATGTGTGTCTGTGTGTTAACCGCAAAATTGGCACTTAAAGATGCCTTGATCGGCTAATGGAGGGGGATTTGCCGTTGATTGCTGATTCCCGCTCTTCTGACCACTGCTGACTACGCCTAATGACTCAATTTTTCTCAAACCAAGTCAATTATGTGGCAAACAACATGGCAAGCATTCACAATTATCAACATGACTCAACGCTCGCTGAATGCAGCAGGAACTAACAACTCACAACTTGCAACAAACAACCGGCAAGCGGCAACTGGCAACTGGCAACTGGCAACTGGATTTGTTGTGTGCGTGCCACGCAATGACAGCAAACGGCAAACTATGTTTGATTTGAAGCTGTCGAAAGCCAGCTAAAAGCTACAACAACAACGACAACAATCGCAACATGATTATAAAAAACGGCCAAACAGCGAATTTCTGATATCCTTACACAAAGCAAACCAAGTGCTCAATTTCAAGTCAACTAAAATTGTACTCGAACCTAGAAGCGCATCATTTACTCCAAAAGCAAACGAATCAAGACCGAACGGAAGCATTGAAATAGGTACGTTATAAAATTACACAAATACCTGAAACTAAATACATTTATTTAAGCGCAATTTTATATAAATGATGTAATAATCTTAGATTTTACTCTCGCTTATAACAAAGATATTTTCTCTTTAACGAAGTTGCATTTACAATTGGTAGCATTTAAATGCTGCCTTTATACATATATGCAGAAATCCAAGGTTCAAAAACTGAACCTTCAGACACAGCATCAATATTCTATCTATGGTTGAAGCCTTGATTAAAAAAGTAAATATATGATAACATACATTGCCAA